GGTGGAGAGGGAGGTGGGAGGGGGGATCGGGATGGGGAATACATGTAAATCCATGGCTGATTCATGTCAATGTATGAGAAAACCCACTACAATATTGTAAAGTAATTAGCCTCCAACTAATAAAAATAAATGAAAAAAAAAATCTGCCTTCCAATGCTGGAAATAAGGGTTTGATCCTTGGTCAAGGAACTAAGATCCCACATGTCGTGGGGCAACTAAGTCCACGCTGCAACTATTTAGCCCATACACTCTGGAGCCTGTGTACCATGATGAAGAGCCCACGTGCTGCAACTAAGACCCAACACAGCCAAATAAATTAAAAAAAAATACACACAAAGCAATAAAGCATGGATGAGATGAACCCAACTTTGAATTTTACATTGCCACTTAACTGGTTGTAAGACCTTGAGTATGTTTTTTTAACCTCTCCAAACCAAGTTCTTTAACCTCTGTGGAATAGATTAGCTGTTTCTATGGCTGATATTATTTTGGCCTCCAAACATTTATCCTCTTGGGTTATTCTCTGCTTGTATTCTAGGCCTTGACTCTTAAAATGTGGAATTCAAAGGTAACTATAATATGCTAAACCTAGTAGGACCAAACTGACATGTAATGAGACTAATCCTTCCTTATTCTGGTCAGTGTGCATCCATGAACACAACACAGATTTTCACTGGCATAGCTGCAGCCACACACATTGTTGCCTCAATTGTCATCAATATCTTCAGGTCATTTTCTCACAGTCTACAGATAAATCAGGTTTCCCCATGACCACCCTTGATGACTGTCTATCAAGTGTAATTAAATTAACCAAAAAGTACAAGGTTATGTTTATCACAGTTAAATTACATGCTATTTGAAAAACAAAGATGTTTCTCACCTGTCACATAGCCCAACGGTACCAACTGTATATGTGTTTACTGGTCCAGGTCAAGCAGAAAAAGGTGGTCTCAGATAGACTGTGAAAGAAGAAGGGAAAATGTGCCATCAAGAACCAGTGAATTGTGTTATTTCAGAGCTTCAGAAATATAGAGACAACTCTTGGCTAGTAAAAGTAACTTGGTGGTCCAGTGGTTAAGAACTTCACCTTCCAAAGCAGGGCACATGGGTTCAATCCCTGTTGGGGAGCTAACATCCCATATGGAACAACTAAGCCCATGCCACAACTTGAGAAGCTGGTACACTTTGGAGCCCGTGCACTGCAACAAGAGAAGCACCAGTGCTTCAGTGAAGACTCACTGCAGCCAAAATAAAACAAATGGAAATATTGAATGACTAAAGTACTTTTTAAAAAAGTACCGTGTTAGATGTGTCCGTAGTTCTGACTGTCCACTTCTAGCTATTATTCCTCTTTCCCTTCTACTTTTCACAAAACACTCAAAGAGCTAAGAACAAGGGACTCTGAGTCAAGTAGACTTAGAGGAGAAGCATGCTTTTGTCACGTATCTGCTATGGGAAGTCAACTAAGCTGCTTAGCCTCTCTGAGCCTCTGTTCATCTATAAAACGAGGACAGCAATACCTAGCCTAATCCTGTAAAGACTGGGTGAGATAAATTGCTGTAGCACCTGGCATGGGGCTCATAGAAAAGAATGCTCCACAGGTAACCCATCCAAAGGGCAGCTTTTTGGGAAATCATCGCCCCAAGGACAAAGGTCAGGCTCCTTAGCATGGCATGCTAAAGGCCTCTTTGGATGTGGTCCTGCCTCTTTTCCCTCCACTCTCCAAGGTGGCCTGCATTTCAGATTGCTGACCTACAGCATCCTGAATATACTTTGCTCTTTTGTTTGGTACTTCAGTGTCATAGTCATACCATTCTCTGGAAGACTCACCCCAATCCAGTCCAACTAGAAAACTTCCACTCACCCTGCAGATTCACTGAAGATGTCAGCTCCACAGTCAAGCACATGTTAGGAGACAATCCTTCATGGTTCTCTTGCATTTCTGCACATCTTGCAAGAGAGGAATCAGCTGCACTTTGTTCTGGATTATCTCTTCAACAATGTTTGTGAGGCAAGCAGCCATGGAAGACAGAAACGGTGCCTCCTTCTGGAGCAAAGGGCAGGCATGCCTACTAACCATTATAAAAGATTTGGGTTCCTAAAGGCCAGGGCTCCTCTTCTGTAATACAACCCACTGTATGTGCAGGTGACATCTGGTTCTCTTTGTTCTGCTCTGTGGAATTTTAAGCTTAGGGGAAAAATTGAGGCTGATGCACAATTGCCTCTAGCAATTGTATTCTAGCTACTGCTATCACTATGCTTAATAAACTGCCCATCATCTCTGACACAGGAGTTTTGTGTCTTCTACCAGAATCCACGAAACAGTGGCAGGCGAATTCATTTGCTTGCAAGCAGGGTAAAATCTGAGACCTTCTGACTTCTTGGTAGCATGCTCCCTCCTTCCCATTTCATCCCTCTGTAAGCCTGTGATTGCTCCTTAAATTCCATTTTCAAATTATCATGAACATTGCAGACTTTATCACAATATTCAGTATCTGCATCATTTTCTGATAACTGTATCTACAACAGCTATCAGTCCTATAACACATTGGACACTCAGTACTTTATTGATTGAGTGAATGTAGCCAGCTCTCTGCAGTTTCTCAAGACTCTTCTCATAGCTAACTTGTATCCAAGGGAATGCTCTGTGCTCTTGTCCTCAGTTCTAAATGTCCTGTGCTCTTCTACAAACCCTTGATCATCTCCCCTTTCTGGCCCTGGAATGACCCATTCATTCCAGGTGGTGGTTGATGAGTTACTTCTAGCTCCTGTTTCCTGACTTGCTTCTGTTCCCTTGGAAATTATGTACTAAATAGTAACAAATTCTCACTTGAAGAGTCCCCCAGGACACCTCTTCTGAGTTTCCACCTTCCAAGACAACTACCAGGAGTGGAAAAACATTCTCATTCTATCATATTAGTTGTGCACTTGTTACATGCAAATTAAGATAAATGACTCCACAACTTTTTATCTAAGCCAATGGTATTTAAAATAGACTAGACAAGGTCAACCCGGGGGACTTCCCTGGTGGTCCAGTGCTTAAGACTCCATGCTTCCCTTGCAGGGAGCATGGGTTTGATCCCTGGTCAGGGAACTAAGATGCCACATGCACAGTCAAAAAAATAAAAGTCAACTCTAAATATACAACTTTGCACTATTCTCCTAGAGAACTTTCTCCTAATTCTTTCCATATATTTAATCAGTATTTCAGTATACTAATTCATTATTTCTTCAGTCAGGAAATACCTATTCATTTCCACTTCATGGTACTGTCCTTTTCACTATGGGGAACACAAGATGAATAGGATATAATTTGTGCCTACAAAATGCTAGTGATATAGTAAGTTATGTGTCACAAAAATACTATAAGGTTTCAGACAAAATAACATCTGTGCTGCCCATAGAAATATAAATAATATTTGGAAAAGTCTCAATTACAGTGTGGGAGTGAAGGGTAAAGAAAGTAATATAGGTTTAGAGAGAAATCCTGCAAAGGCTTAGAATCAGGACAGTTCAAGTGCTATTGGGCAATCACCAGTGGTTCACTTGGGCCTGAGTGTCAACTATATTTAGGAAAAAATGGACAGTAAATTTGTAATGATAGATTGGGGCCAGATCAGGGGCCATTAGGAATAAGGAGTTTGTTGTTTAATGAACATTTGGCATTTTACAGGCCATGAGAGTGACGTGAAAGGTTTTTGATCAGAAGAAAAACTTGATCACAGACAAATTAATCTAGTAGTCACTGTAGAAATGGGTTGGAGCATGGAAAAATTGGAATATTTGAGGGGAAGTCTCTTAATAGCCCATTCTAATGTGATGGGAGGTACTGAGAGCAGGAACATGGGCAGGATACTGAGTGTAGAACGGATTTTTTTTTTTTTTAATTTTTATTAGTTGGAGGCTAATTACTTCACAACATTTCAGTGGGTTTTGTCATACATTGACATGAATCAGCCATAGAGTTACATGTATTCCCCATCCCGATCCCCCCTCCCACCTCCCTCTCTACCCGATTCCTCTGGGTCTTCCCAGTGCACCAGGCCCGAGCACTTGTCTCATGCATCCCACCTGGGCTGGTGATCTGTTTCACTATAGATAATATACATGCTGTTCTATAGAACGGATTTTAAAAGGCTTCAGAGAGAAACTTGACAAGGTGGAGCTCTTGAGTGGGAGTAGATGCTTCAGCTGAATGTTATTTTGCATTATCCCCTTAACATCTGATCAACTTTGTTCATATCATGAGATGTGGGTGGTCAAATGTCTTGTTGAAATGAAGATGTTTTGCTTTTCCATTTTCCTGACCTGCTCTGATATATTCTTAGCAAACATGGCCTTCTGCTTTGTTGTTATCATTCACTGCTTTTATTGTACATTTACAACCTGCTTTTTAAAAATTGTGGTTAGAAAAAACAATATAAATTTACTGTTGACAATTTTAGGTGTGAAATATAGTATCAACTATATGCACATCATTGTACAACAGATTTCTAGAACTTTTTCATATAACAAACACTACAACCATGGAACCTCAACTCTCCAGTTTCTCCTCCCTGCAGGCCCTGGCAGCCACCATTCTATTTTCTGTTTATATAAATCTGATTACCTTAAATACCTCATATTAGTGGAATCATGCATTACTTGTCTTTTTGCCGTTGACTTACTTTGCTTAGTGTAACTCCCTCAAGGTTTATCTATGTTCTGGAACATGACAGGACTTCATTCTTCTTTTAAGGCTGAATAATATTTCATAATATGTGTTGTGATATATATATATTTTTTCTTTATCCATTCATCCATTGATTAACTTTTAGGTTACTTCTACATCTTGGCTATCATGAATAGTGTCACAATTAACATGGGTGTGCAAGTATGTCTTCAGGACTCTATTTTCAATTATGTATACCCAGATGTGGGATTGCTGGATCATATTATAGTTCTATTTCAATTTTTTGAGGAACCTCCACACTGTTTTCCATAGCAGCCACACCATTTTTCAATCCCATGAAGAGTTACCACCACTTTTAAAATAATCATCTCAGAATGTTTCTGATGGCAACTATTAAGCTCATCAGTGAGTCAGTTCTTAAATCACAGGAAGATCATAGCATGTGATACTCATCCAGGCCCTGGCCAGCTAACCAACATAGTAGTAGCTCAATTCCAGGGGAAAAAAAATTGAACAACTCCAGACTTTCACTGTGTTTTCTCATTTGCTATGCTTCATAAGCATAAACAAATGGGCCTATGATTCCACAGAACCAGGTAACACTTAGAGGTCAGAGGGCTGGAAGATCATTTTGTACAACTCCATAACTTGTTGGGAGAAGTTATGTCATTTTCCCCCCTGGAAGGCTAGGAGTCTTGAATTTATTTAGAGAAACCTGATTTTTTTTTTTAACCTACCATCATCAGATTTCACTTCTTTTTTAACTATATAGACTCTACCCTCTTTGGCCTGAAAATAATTGCCCTTGTTTTAGAATATGAAAGCAGAATAGGGCTTAATGTATTTGTTTGAGATTTTTCCTTCAAACGGGTATTTGGGAGATTAAACACCTAGGCATTTCTTATCTTTTTCAGGAGCAGCTTAGGAACATTTCCAATAAGTCAGAAGTGTCACCATCAGTGTAATCACCAAACAAATGAATCAGATTTGACTTAACTAAGCCCACTCTAAAAGGACACAGATTTGGTACTATTGGGAATATTTACTCACAAAATAATAATACAATTATTTACAGAGCTGTGCACTACTATCCATGCATTCTATCACAGCACTCCATTAGTATTATATATACATATTCCCATTAAATGGATGAGGTTTGAGAGCATAAACAACTTGTCTACATTAAACTGAAATTTGAACTCTAGTCTGTGAGACACTCAAAACTACACCCTTACCCACTGCAGTGTTACCTACTATGTGCAAGGCACTGTGGTGGAATCTGGGGGGCATTCGAGAACTGGGTAGCAAGTCCTTTGGTAGCTTATGCAGCCTACATCATGATATAAGGCAAATGTTTTACTGGAAAGAAAGTGTAACTGTCCAATAAGACATGTACTGTGTTATTTAAAGACACATGCTATAAATTCTGAAGTCCACAAGAATAGGAGGGAAGGGAGGAAGGGAGGAAGAGGGAGAGGAGAGATGGAAGGAAGGGAGGAGGGAAAGAAAATAAGTTTGAATTTAAGACATAAAGGATTATATGGTAGAAAGGGCAACAAACAAATCAGAAGGCATGGATTTTGGTTTCCAGTTATCACTTACTAATAAATGACTTTGGGTATACTGTAAATTTTATATGATACTGTATAATTACATCATCAGGATAAGTTTATTGCTGCCAAACATGAGACTATAAATATATTAGAAAAGTTTAATTTGGGTAAATCTCATCACATTATATATATATGTGTGTGTGTGTGTATCACTTATATTTATTTCATATTAGATGCAGTGCTGTGATCCTCCCCAGAACAAGTCAAGGTCCAAAGTCATCTTAGGATCAAAGGCTCCTATGATTAATTGAAATGTTAAAGAAAGGGCGAAGTAGCAGTTAAAAAAAAAAAAAGTTCTTCCTTTGCTTTTTAGCTTATCTCTCCCCTCCCCCAGTCTTTATTCTTCCGATTTATTCAAAAAGGAAAGCATAAAAGCATCTTGTTAGCAATTCTTATCCAGGAAATATGAGCACTTAGGATCGATTGAAAGGGAACTGGGAGAAGGGGGAGTCAAGAAGGAAAAGGATGTCATACAATAAAAAAATCTAGTTGGCACACAGTTAAGAGCGTCATTTTGTGTGTATTTATCAGATGTTTGGAACATCCTTGCAAACGTTTCATTACCTCTAAACATTTTCCCTTTCCATGGACCTTTATTCTGATGCTTAGAAATACTTGAAATTCATCTAAATTTTAAGTAAATTTTGGGAGGCAATAGAGCCCAGGGTATTACAGTTTTACATGCAGTTAAATTGAAATTGTTAAGTAGACTGATCCCTATTATATAGTAAGCTTCCGGGGAAGGTTACTCCCAGCAGATGTTCTAAAACTGCTGATCCTCTCCCCGCCTTTTTCCCCCAAAAGGAGGACTTTTGCAATATGCTTTAGCAGTGAATGTGTTGCTGTCCTACTGACAAAAGCTCGATTTCTGTCAGCAGCTTTCATTAAGGTTAGCTTTTAGCCTGTGCCCTAATCATAGCCGTGGATTTCGTTTTGGATTAGGAAACCCTAATCCACATGTAAATATTCTCCGTGATCCACACATGGTTAGCAATCTGATTACATTTTTAATGTACCTTTTAACGCCTGTTGTTATCCTTAATTACTTTTAAGAGATGTGAACAAATTCACAACATCTGTGTCTTTCCAAGTCAGTTTAACTTGTAACCAGGTAGTCTATGCACGCCTAGTCCCCCAGACTCACCCAGCTCGGAGAATCTAGAAATCTCATCTGGCCTCACCTCTCAGGACAGGGCCTTTTGTGTGCACAGTTCTGACGAATTAAAGAACTTGACTAAGTTGAGAGATAATAAAACATCTCCCCAAACGGCAATTGTTCATTTCTGGGGACTTTTCAGAGATGGTTCTAAGCCGGCGCTGCTTCTGATGGGGACGGGGGGGTGGGGTGGGGTGTCGGACAGGAACCGTCCCCAAATGTGGGGGCTGATCTCCCGGAGATACCTCCAGTGGAGCTGACAAATCTCTGAAGTGGGAAATAGTTTTCCCTCCGCAGGGCCTCGGCGTGTGAGGGATGGAGGGGGATGGGCAGGGGCCATCAGGGGAGAAGTCTCCGGCCTTTCCACGTCTCTCAACACCATCCCTCCCCCACCCCGCCTCCTCCTTCCCCGAATCCTAAACAAGCCCAGGAGTGAAGGGGGGTGGTCTGCGGGGGAAAGAGGGGCCCTGGCCGGGAGGCTTTGCCTTTATGGCTCCGTCCTCGACGGCGGTGGGGAAAGCCAGAGGGGAGGGGAAGCGGGCCGGAGACCCTGAGCCGGGGCTTGACCCCCAGGTGCATTGTCCGGCGGGGCCCGTCCCCTCCCCCCGGGGCCACGACCCGGCCGCCACGGGGCCCCCTCCTAGCGAACGTCTCCCTCCGCGGCCGCACCGACCTCGCGGTCCTCAGACCAGGGGCCAGATGTAGAAAGTAGTCCCCAGGCCAGCAGCAGCGGCGCTGTCCACTCCACCGCCCCCGCCCCCTCCAGCCGTCGCCTCACTCCGCCCCCGGGCCGGACGCTCGGGCCCCCCGCCTCCTGCGAGCGGGTGTCCGTGCGCCGGCCTCGCCGCTCCCGCAGAGAGCAGACACCGGCCGCGTCACGCCAC